GAATCACTGATTGGACCGGTTGACCCGGATATATATAGATATATAAAAATATGAACATATAAATTCAATTATATTCTCCATATCTAAAATGAATTAAACAATGTTCATTAAATAAACTCAAAAAACAAGAAGCATAAATAAATAAAATTGAATGCTATTACTATGTTAATTTAAATTACAACTCAGAATCTCCGTAAACATACCTCTCAATGACATTGAACTCATATTTTTCAAATTTAACTACATTAAAATGACATATATCACATTCTCTTAATTTATTATTTCGCAAATTACTTCAGTATTAGAAGCTAAAATTTGAGGTCATTGTAGAAGAGTATACTAGCAAATAAAATTACAAAATGTTTAAATGAGTTCTACATTTTTTTTGATAAGATGAAACAATTTTGGTTTTTGTTTTTTTTTTTTAAATGCATGACCCGACCGGGTCACTGGGTTTGGCCGGTTTTATCCGGGTTTTGACTGGGTCGATGCGTGACCGGTTTGCCAGGTTCCGGGTCGACCCGGCCAGGTCGAATTTTATAACTATGATATTATCCATTAAGCCGTAAACAATGAAAAACGCCCATAAATAAATTCAAATTGTGTACAAATGATAAAAATAAGTCCTACTAAGGGTCCGTTTGGATGAACTTTTTTTCTCCAAAAGTTGCTTTTTTTACAAAAAAAAAAAAAAACACTTCTCACTTTAAGTTCGTTTGGATATCTACTTTTAAAAAAAGTAGAAATCACAAAAAAAGTCAAAAACCTACTTGTTTTAGAAGCTAAAAATTTTAACTTCTAAAAAAAGCAGAAGTCAAAAGTCAAATATTTTTTTTCAAAAGCTAAATATTTTTTATAAAAATATAAAAAGCTTTAACTTTTATAAAAAACACTCTTAAAATAAGGAAGAGATAAAAAATATTTTTTTTGGAAGACGAAACAAACAAGCTCTAAATAAGTTATTATTCCTTTAACAATCATTACAAAATTGAACAGATAATAGATCTAAGGGAAAAATATTTCTCCAGTGAACCCAAAATGACGTCGTTTTAGGGTTATAAGATAAAAATTCTTATGATAAAAACTAATATAACCCTGTAATAAATTAAAATTATAAAAATACATTGATTTCTGCCACAAAATGACGTCGTTTTGTGCTCACCGAAGATAACTTATATCAATTGACTGGAGAAATATTTTGTCCGAGATATAATGACATGAAATGTAATATATTACCCAATAAATATAACTCAGTTGATAATGCAGGTTAACTATAATGGGAAGAAAATCTGAATTTAATTTCTGATTTCGATTTTCACTAAATATATTTTAGCTGGTGATATCCGGAAGGCGAGTTCCCATATTAACTCCCACAAAAATAATTATAATTGATATAAAAAAATATAATATGTGTACTTAAATGAAATAATTTTTTTTTTTTTTGTCTTCAACGGTAGTTTGGGAAGCCAAAGTCCAATTAAAGTACAATTTAGTTTACCTTACCCAAAAAAGAAAAGTACAATTTTGTTTAGTTTAATAACACGTGATTCAATAACATTACTGAATTCAAAATCTCAGCTAATCAGGACTCGTTTTGTAACAGGCTAACAGCTGGATATACGCATGCTTCGAAAGTTCAAACTTCCAACCTACTCCGAACTTCGTTAAATTTATTATGAAAATAAAAGATAGCATAGTATGAAAAAAATTGAATTTTATTTATTTTGTAAAATAGCATAAATATTAGATAAAAAGTTAATAAAATAGCATGAAATTTTAAACTTTAATTACTTGTTGAAAAAAATTCTAAAATTTTGTCCATAAATTAAAAAGACAAAACTAATAAATAAACCTTATTTTTCATCTTTTAACTTTATTGTGTGTAATATAGTATATAACAAAAAATATTATAACAAATGTTATATCATTTTATTCAATTCCCATGCTCATTCATATTAAAGAAAGATATTACAAAAAAAAAAAAAAAAATTAAATATACGCGCTTCAATCATTCATCATCAAACAGCCAATAACAAAGAAAATCATTCTTTTTTTTAACTTATCCACTTATATTTACTTTTCCGTACGCTCTCCGTTCTCCCTTAGAATAGGAATACATTCTGTCCTTTCACCGCTCCGTGGGGTAGTCAGTCTCTTTCTATGTTCACGAAATGTACCTCAGGAAAGATAAAACTACAGCGCCACCGTCCCAATGTACTTACGCGAACACCGTCAGGTACTGTGGTAATGAAGCAACGCATAACAACCACAAAAAAAAAAACTTTTTTTTTTTTTTCAGTTCAAACATGAATAGAAATTTTTTTAAAGTTTTGAACACCATATTCAAAACAAATCCTTCATCGTTTCTCTTAATACAACTTTTTTTTTTTTTTTTTTTGAACCAGCCGGATGAGCTTGCCCGATTAGATCAAATTGTTGCCCAACAAAGTCTCAAACACTTAACATATGAAGTGTATGACTCCACAATATATGTGTCGCCTCATATTTTTCATGTATGCATAATTTTATCCACCTCAAGGGTCATAGTGTCACACAATCTCATACCATAGTAGGGTCTACTAACGGTTATAGCATTATATTTTCTATGCTAAAAGGGAATTAATCTCTCACATCTTATAAATAGCTAAAGGGTTTCATCTAATGAAAATGATAATCTTCTCCATCACTTAAAGTTTGCTGTTACTCTGTCAAATCTCCGCCATAGCCATAATGGAGCCCAATACATCTCCACTTTCACTCTCAACTTGCCTGAGGCTAGTACGGTGACTCCAAAGAGCTTTGGTCCATAACGTTACATCATCATCAAATCAACATATTTCACCTATTCGGGAAACGGAGCTACTTCCATCTTCTAATTAGCTCAAAATATTTATATTAAAGAAAAATATTTTTCTTATCATATGAGATAAAATTATGGGTTGAATGAAAAAAATAAAAAGGTATTTTTAGATTTTTATTTCCCTTTTACAACATGAAATTTTCACAAATACCTTTAATTTATTTTTAAACTTCAAAATGATATTATTTTAGATTGCAAGAGATAATTTACCTTTTGTAAAGGAGAAACACCGAACCTTTTTAATAATAAGTGAAAAGTTAATATACCAAAGGAATTGAAAATTTATATCCTGAAATTTAAAAATAGTTTAGACTGAAAGTAAATTTATTATCGATACAAAAAAATGAAATGTTGTCAATGTGTAAAAAGATGCCATACTAATGAAGAAGAATAGCAAATTTTGGAATCTGAATTTCGTTTCTGTGGGTGTATTTATTATTTCGTTTCATATATAGTCATTTTTGTGTGTGTGCACATTATTATTTTTATCTTATTCAAGCTCCTCATTCTGATTTTCATATTCAACAAAGCGAATCCCACCTTTGTCTTATTTTTCCTCATTTCCCTTAAATTTTCTATAATTTTTGATCTATATAGTTGTCGCTATATTTTCTTATACTCAAGAAATTTTCCCTGCCAGCCATATATTTCTTTTTGGTACAATATTATGGCATTGTATTTTGTGCTTAAATGTTATTTAGAATCTAAAAGAATCTCCTTTTACTGATTCCTCCAATGATTAATTTGAGAGTGAAAGAAGTTATACATGTTCTAGAAGAAGAAACTAAACAAAATAAAAATGTTAATATAACTATAACCATGTGGTTGGGTGGTTGGTAAATGGAGCACCGCCGTTTACTTTTTAGCGCATACTTACGAGCCTAGTAAACAGAACATAATGTTTGTTTTTTTTCGTTTGTTTGATTTTGCAATTCTTTTTTAAAAAAATTTAACATTTAACTCATTATTCATGTATAATTCTTCAAATTTGAAAAATAGGATATTTTACACGCTTTGGTACAAAATCATCATTTTTTTTGGTAAACATCATTTTTAATTTGAGAAATCATTCTTTTGAATCTTACAAAATTCATTTTTTTTCTTTTATGCTAAATAGCTCCTGGTTTCATTTGCACTCCCCGAGGTATAAATTGGCTGAACGAGCTAAACTTTGATCTAAATAAACTTTGATCTAAATAGGTCAGACCTATTTAAAATATTTTGAGCTTGACCTAGTCTATTAATTTGATATAAACTAAATTACAGACCTGTCCTGACCTATATTAAAAAATAAAAAAATTGGTCCAAGCCATGTTGACTATTTAAGAATATCAAACCTTCAATATCTATATAGAATTTAGAAAAATAATAATACAATAATATTATTTTTATCAATTATAATTATTATTATTTTTACTTAAATTAAAATAAATAATATGATATAAGCCGGCCTATAAACATGTAGGTCAGGTCTAGTAAAATTTGGAATATAACTTATTTTCTAAATAAATTTTTTTAAAAGTTTAGACCTGTTCTATTTTATCGAATATATTAGGTCAAGTCTAACCCTGATCATAGGTTCCTAATAAGCCATGTGACCCATTTATATCATATCTCAATGCTTTGATATCAAGCATTGACTATAAGACACTCTTCTTTAAAATTTAAAACCAATGAAAATGAGAAAGGACGGAAAAATATCCTTTTTTTTTAAAAAAGTAATAGAAAAATATTATATTTATAAAAAATTTGTTTACAAACTACGTTATGCCTTATGGTAAGACACTCTATTGAGTGAAATTTTATCAGTAAGACATAATTTAATTTGTTAAAAAAAAAATTATCAATATAACCCTTCGCTAAAATTTGTATGCAAAATACAACACAAGGGAAATTGAAGGATTTATTAATGCAAAGACTAAAATTCAAGTCCTGAAAATACTTTACCATGTGACATCACCCAAATTCAATATTACAAAAGCCAAGTAAACGTAAGCATTGCCCCCTCACTGCAGCTGACAGCATGTTCCCCACTTACGTAACCACACGAGGTAGCTTAGCTCTTCTTCTTCTTTCCCTTCATATATATGATCCCATCACTCCCTCTCTTGTTCTATAACACTCACTAGTAACCCATTGAATGGAAGAAACAAGCAGCATGCAAGAATGTGTCATCACCCCAACAACCTATCGAGGGGTTCGCAAGAGGAAATGGGGGAAATGGGTGTCAGAAATTAGGGAACCTGGTAAGAAAAAAAGAATATGGTTAGGGAGTTATGAGGAACCAGAAATGGCAGCAGCAGCATATGATGTAGCATCCTTGCACTTCAGAGGACACGCTGCAAAGCTTAACTTTCCTGAATTGGCTGAGACTCTGCCACGACCAGCAAGTTCTAGAGCCGAGGATGTTCAACTTGCAGCTCAACAAGCAGCATTGAAGTTCAAAAGACCAATAACATCATCATCATCATGTGAGGGAAGTGGCAATAATAACAATGAGGATAACGTGGTTCCTGCGAGGGTGGGGTTGTCACCGAGTCAAATTCAAGCCATCAATGAGTTCCCATTGGATTCACCAAAGATGTGGATGCACATGGCAGAGGCACCCAATTTTGGGTTTGATGAGTCATCTATGATGCTTTATTGTGATGATGTTTTAGAGTTGAGTGGATGGGAAGATATACAGCATGAGTCCTTATGGGACTATTGAATGAACCCTTGATTTAGGGTCCAATAAAATGAAGCAAAAAGATTTGTTATTGGTCAAGTGCATATTTTATATATTCCATTTGTTTTATCTTTTGCTTATCTACTTGTATGTATTTGTGTATTGTTTTATATGCTCACAGGAGGTGGTAAAAACCGGAAGGCACCGCAATTAATCCGTAAAAAATTAAGTCAGTTTGCTTTGATTTTGAGAGAATGCTGCAAAACTCGGTCCATTTCGCTGGCCCAAAGCTATATTATATTAAAAAAATGAAAATACTCAACCCGCTCTACCGAACCGAGTCCTTTTTGCCAACCTTACTCACGGGTTATGTCACACCATGTATAGGAAAAATAAAATCTAAACTAAATATGTAAAATTGAATTAAATTAGACTTGAATGAAGATTTTTTTTTATGGTGACATTAACATTCAAACCTATAATCTCATGTAAATTATTCAAATTCCTCTTTACTACATCTATTTTAATGCATTGCTAATTAGAATCAAATTAATAACATGTCGATTTTGGGTTTAAGTCATTGGGTCATTTTTTCCAACAGCAACAAATAAAATAAAATAAAAACTAAATCATATTCCAGGCGAGTCGTGTTCAATGGGTTTATTTGTTTGTTAAATGCAACAGGCAAAGGACTTTGTTTTGAATCAAATATTACTTAGGGGTATTTGATAGGGAGAATTTTTTGAGATTACTGGATAAGTGATAGTGCTAGTTTTATTTACCCACGTTTGATATAAGGTTTCTGAATTTTTTTTCGAGAATATGATTTTCCAGAATTTTGTTTTATATATATTTGTTCTTCCAAAATATTATTCAAGAATGTACCATCAAATGGTGATATTCTTGAAATCCTAGGTGTTGAAAAAATTTTACAATTTTTTTGGGACAAAATATCGATAATAATTTGGCATGCCAAATAGCTTTTTGTTAACATTCCCGGGAAAATGATTTTCCTACCATATTCCTGTGAATTATGATTCGCGAGCATGGAAAAATATATCCTCTACCAAACACTCCCTTATAGCCAATGTTGTCAAAATTGAGTTTCCACATAAAGACAAAATGGGATGTTAGAAATGTAAAAACGTAGAAATGACACGGAACATAGAGTTTCTACTATTTAACATCAAGATACAAAATTATGGGATATGATCCTTTAACACTTGTGTTAAACTTTTTATGGGAAATTAATAATTAATTAATAAGTGTCATCCAATAAATTATAACCGTTAGATTGACAGAATCAACGGTTCAGATTCGGTTGAAAGATGTTGTAAGCAAAAAGAGATTGTAAATATAACCTCCCTTTTATATATATATATATATATATATATATATATATATATATATATATATATGGGAAAAACATTTCTCAAGCAGCTTGTAATAGGTTTATCTCCGGCCACCCTAAAACTACGTCGTTTTGTTTATTTGTTTCCTTATATTAATTGATTCACCTTTGATTGGTTATGATTACGTTTTTCTCTCTCTTCCTTTATCATCATTGATCCATCTTTGTACAGTTATGATTTAGTAGTCGGAGATAAAATTATCTCCGGCAGTTTGAGAAATGATAAGCCCTATATATATATGTAAAAAAAAATCACATAAGTCACTACTCAAAATTCAATGAACAACTTCATAATTAAAAGATAACTATACAAGATATAAGCTTAAAGTTTAACAATTCTTATAACGAAATTCCAAAATATTAAAAGAATAAAATTTAACAACTCCTAAATTATATCAATTGATTCAAATTAAACACATTATCTTATATAAATTACATATTCTCAATGTCATCTTCTCTTGCTCTTGTAACAATTTCATTTACAAAATTTGAAATG